CTGTGGGAGGTGCAAAGCATTCTGGGATGCTGGGGAACTGTGAGTTACTTGAATTTGGAGGGAATCTGGGCCAGAAGTTCAATAAACCGATTTAACTGAAATCAGTTAAGTCTGGTACTACATCCATCCATGTTTATCTTGAATGGGTTTCCGCCATTTTGAAAGCAGTTTATGTGCACTGAACTTCTGTTGTGTTACAGATCTGAACTGGTTTCAAATCACTTATAGGTTAAGTACAAGTAATCAAAAAGCCCAAGGCTGAATCGATTCAATCTTGGTAGGTTAGTCTAAGTTATTTAGATTGAACCAATAAGCAAGTGAACAGACATTCACTTTTGATTTTGGAAATGCAGCCACATTCCTCCAGTGGCCCAGGCCAGAGGCTGGTGAGTGCTAGAGCACATCTCCCTGCTCATTTGGAGTGGAGAGCTTGGGCTAAGGCTAGCCCCCAAACCTGCAAAGGGAGGTTTGCAGGGAAGATGCAATGCTGCGGAACTACGAGTTAACTTGAATCTGCAGGGGGTCAGGGGGTCCTCTTGTCTGGATCATAAACCATAAAGTCAAGATGACAATTATGACAAAAGGTTATAAAAAAATTAAAAAATCAAATTGATCTTCCACAGTGAAGCGTGGGCTCACTAGTACGTTATTATTAGTAATATTACATATAGCATCAGTCCTTAATATTTCACAAAAAAAATAACAACAAATACTTTATTTCTTATTTTTATATTATTTTATGAATTGTCAGTTGTTCTGTATGTATGATCAAACTACAATTTATGCCCTACAACTGCCAATACTTCATATTTAAAAAAATCAGTGTCTAAATCTATATTTTTAAAATAATTTTTGCAGTAGGTTTATTACTTTTATATCACTGCATGATACATCAGTACTAGCAATATATAATATGTAGGATACTTATACCTACTGCATACCTTATTATCACTATGTAAATTTAAAATAGTATAAAAATTAGAATCCTATAAAATTTAATTCTAACACTGAACATTGAAAAATATTTTTATATATGTTTTTATTCTGATTTGGCATGTAAATCATTGAAAACTATCATAGTTTGCTGCAAAGGGAAATTCTAACTTTCAGCCAGCTGTAGCTCTTAGTGTAAGAAAAGAATCATAGATTCATAGATGCTAGGGTCAGAAGGGTCCTCAACAGATCATCAAGTCTGACCCCCTGCCTAGGCAGGAAGACAGGAAAGAGGGCTGGGGTCAGATGGCCCGGGTCAGATGCCTATCCAGCCTTCTCTTAAAGACCCCCACAGTAGGGGAGAGTACCACCTCCCTTGGAAGCCTATTCCAAATTTTGGCCACCCTTACCATGAAGAAGTTTTTCCTGATATCCAGCCTAAATCTGGTCTCTGTCAGTTTGTGACCATTGTTCCTTATTACCTCAAGAGGCCCCCTGGTGAACAGAAGCCTCTCCTATCCCTTGCTATGTCCCCCTAATGAATTTCTAGATGGCCACAAGATCACCTCTCACCCTTCTCTTGTGGAGGCTGAAGAGGTCCAGGTCCCTCAGTCTCTCCTCTTAGGGCTTGTCCTGCAAGCCCCTAACGATATGAATGGCCCTCCTCTGGACCCTCTTAAGTCTATCAACATCCTTTGTGAAGTACTGTGCCCAAAACTGGATGCAGTACTCCAACTGTGGTCTGAGCAATGCTGCATAGAGGGGAAGTATCACCTCCCTGGTTCTATTTGTCATGCATCTGCTGATGCATAATAAAGTGTGGTTAGTTTTGCTGATGATTTTGTCACACTGACGACTCATGTTCATCTTGGAGTCCGCTATGACTCAGAGATCCATTTCCACTTCTGTGCTGCTGAGAGGGTCACTTCCCAGTCAGTAGGTGTACTAGCTATTTTTGTGCCTTAGGTGCAGCACTCTGCACTTGTCCTTGTTGTACTGCATCCTATTGTGTACTGCCCACTCTTCTAACCTGTCCAGATCTGCTTGCAATCGTTCCCTACTCTCCGGAGTGTGCACTTCACCCCACAATTTAGTATTGTCTGCAAACCTGGACAGAATACACTTCACACCCACATCCAAGTCGCTGATGAACCTATTGAAGAGTACAGGTCCAAGGACCAAATCCTGCGGAATGCCACTACCCACATCCTTCCAGGTCAATACTGACCTATCTACTACCACTCTCTGGGTGTGACCACTAAGCCAGTTTTCCACCCACTGGACCATGTAAACGTCTATGTCACAGCCTCTTAATTTATGAGAATGTGATGAGATACTATATCGAAGGCCTTGCTAAAATAAAAAAAAACACATCCACCTCTACTCCTGCGTCTAAGCATTCTGTGACCCCATCATAAAATGAAACCAGATTGGTCAGGCATGATCTGCCTGCTATGAATCCATTCCGGTTTCCCTGCTGCATTATTTTTCCCACAGGACTCCCACAAATATGATCCTTCATAATCTTTTCAAAGACCTTTCCAAGGATGAAGGTGAGACTGACTGGCCTATAATTATTTGGACCCTCCTTCATCCCCTTCTTGAAAATAGGGACCACATTGGCCCTTTTCCACTCCTCCAGGACCTGACCCGAGCACCACAAGCACTCAAACAGCCATGCCAGTGGTTCTGCTATGACACCAGCCAATTTCTTCACTACTCTCAAATGCAGCTTGTCTAGGCCTGCTGACTTAAACACATCCAGTCCATCCAAGTGACTCTGCACCAAGTCAACATCGACAATTGGTGGGCTGATGTCCCTCCAATGCTCATCTAAGAACCCATTAGGAGACTTATCTTGACCCCTGTTCAGGAACATTGAGGAAAAAAACTCATTGAATAGCTCAGACTTGTCCCCCCCCGTCTGTCAGTAATTGCTCCTTCTTGTTCAGTAGGGGTCCTGTGCTTCCCTGCACCTTCCTTTTACTCCCTACATACCTAGAAAAAGACTTTTTGTTGTCTTTATTTTGTGTTGCCAGCCTTAGCTCTGTAGTTGTTTTGGCTTTTCTAACTGCCTCCCTGCAAGTGTGGGCCAAGTACATATACTCCTTCTTGGTAACTTCCACCTGCTTCCACTGCCTATATGCTTTCTTTTTTGCCCTTTAGATTTCCCTGTTTAGCCAAGGAAGTTTTTTGGCTCCTTTCACCCTTTTCCCTCGTAATGGGATAATCTCCCTCTGTGCCCAAAGGATCACTTCCTTTAAAAATTACCACCCTTCCTGGACATCCATCTTGCCAATATTCTTATCCTGCAGTGAGTATTGAGAGAATCAGGGAACATGGCCTGTGTTTTGCATTATTTTATCTAACACCTTTTACCTAAATACCGGATGTAGAAGTCAAAATTTAAACAAAAAGAGGACTAGAGATTTTGGGTGCCTCATTCTTTGAGTGGCCAAGTCAAGACCCTTAAAGAGCTCTCAGTTTCAGTCATTTGCTCAGCACTTTGGCTAGGGGCAGGTATTACACATAAACCAGTTTAAGAGATCAGAAACTGGTTTAAACCTGTAACTGAACAGATGTTCAGTGCACATAAACCAGTTTGAGAATGGCTGAAACCAGTTTGAGGTGAACCTGGTTGAATGTAGTATCAGACTTAAATGATTTGGCTCAAACCAGTTTATGCAATGGCTGTCCCAGACCCCTTGCTGGTTTAAGATAAACCAGACACCTCCTGCATCCCAGCATGTTCTCTGGGCTGGGCAGGGCTCTCTGCTCCACAGAAGGGCTGGCCCCACCCCTCTGCTCCCTGGCTGCAGCTCCCCTCCCTACCTTTCACCACTCCCTGCTAAGCAGGAATTCCCCCCTTCCTCCCTCTGCCTTGCTGAGGAGGTGTCTGTGCATTAGCTAGCAGACCACATGCTGGTTACTGTCTGTGCTGAAATAACAGGTAGAATCAACAGGCAGAATCAACAAGTAGCTGGTAATGTCCCTCTTTTGTTTTCTTAATTGGGTGATAAACACTATTATTCAATTCCCTGCTGGGCTAATCACAGCATCCTGCCAGAGCCTGGCCATGTCCCCCTCAACTCCATGCTGTGGATGGAAGGGAGGGCTGCTCTAGCACCCACCCTGGCTCCTAGCCTGATCCACTACAGGCATGTGCCTGCATTTCTGGGATGTCTGTCTGGTTACAAAACTTATTTAATCTAGCCAGGTTATACTAACCTGCAAAGACTGAATCAGTTCAGGCTCAGGCTTTTTGAATATCTGTCCTTATCCTTTCTGATAACTGGGCAACATTTCAGTATGAGGCACCCAAAAATCAGTAATCACTATGGGAAATCCTTACTATATAGTGTCCTACTCTGGAATTACTTCCTCTGAAGTTATAAAAGTAGGCTCACCTAACTGCCCCTGCCTGCATAAGCAAAGCTGAGTGTCTTTGTGGTTTTACCTGCTGGGCAGGGTAGTTGTATATCTTCCAATCTGTCAACTTTATTTTGATGTCTGTTAGATCTAACCAGAGTCTCCATAGGAGCACCAATCAGCACATATTATGTGGGGATGTGTCACATTAGCACAATCACTATTCATGTCCCAGCCTTCAAGTCTGTATACCAGATCTTGGGGATGAACTAGTTGTCTCAGATACTTCAGGATAAGGAAGTTTACATCTCTACCATGCAGCAAAAGCGAACCCTGCTGAATTTAGCTCCAGGTCATATATTGTATGTCATTCCCCTCTTGTATTTACTTATATTTATATAAGGGAAATACAGTACAAAATGAATAAATGGTAAGTTTCAACTGATCTCCAAGACACAAGCAGTTAAGCAACGAAACTAGGTGAAAATGTAATTAAAATGACTTAGGATTCAGATTGCCTTTTTAGCCTGTTTCCTCTATTTGGAAGTATCTCTCTCTCTCCTGGTTAGAGACATATTTTTTTAAGTTACTCTAAATGAAAGCAGAATTGTGATGCTGTAAATAGAAAACTCCCTCTTTGTTTCTCATTTATTTGAAGCCTACCCAGAGTAACCCCCCTCTCTAGTTAAAAAGGAGCAACCTCTGGCTTGACTATCAGCAGGCTCCTACAGCAGGATCAGATTGCATTTCTCTACTTGTAACTCCACCCTCCAAGTACAAGCTTCAACAAAAATGAAAGAAGAGAATCAAGCACAACACTGTTTTTAACTCTTCTTCAAGAACTGGAATTTGTTGGTGAGTACTTCGTAACTTTTTCTTTAGTTTTAGAAGAATGATTGTCCTTAGGTAGAGAGAAAGGAAATTCTCCAAAGAATAAGTCAAGATTTTGTTGATTTTTTTTTCCTGTGTGAGAGAGAGAGATACAGTGCACGGATGTCTAACTGCAAAACACTTGGGCACTGCAAAAAAGTAGGCTCATTCTCTCATGAAGTTAAAGAGGTTGCGCACTTATAATAGGAGCTCTTTTACTTGATTTTATTTATATATAAATATTTTTTGATAATGAGCACAGCAGGATGTGAGCTTTTTGGCAAGCTCCAAGAATAACACAGACTATTTAAAAACAAACCATCAGAGAGTAATATTATGCTAATTTTTTATCAGTCATTTGAAACTTGCTATGTGTAATTGCTCATGCTTTTGAAACAATGCTTTCAATAAATTGAATGCAATGGAGGCTTATTCTGACAGAGCTGTGGGTCTATATGTTTGACTATTCAAGCCCTGTCAACATATGTGATTAAAGACCATTCTTTTTACTTCAAGAAGTAAAAAGATCTTGTATAAATACAAAACAATCTCACAGTGTTTATTGAAATCAGAGGAAATTAAGGTTTTCTAAGCATTTTGAAATAAAAAAGCAAGCAACAAAAACTCCCAGTGGTTTTTGCCACATTCTAGTTTTCAGGGATCAGTGTGCACTTAAGCTTTGTGTTCAGTACAGAATTACCCATAAATGATAGTCTACTGGATTTAAGAGCAAACAAGTGTCAAAAGTTAATAACTATATTAGCTATAGCATAAAGAAAATAAGTGAAGTATACATCCCACTACCAGAAAATAGCAAAAGACAGCAAGTAACACTGTAAGGAAAAACCTCTAGGTACATGAGAGGTCAGTGTGACACAGTACTCTTGAAATTAGTTATCAACATGCTTAATGCAAAATGTTAAGATATAAAACTTATTTCCTAAATACACAGATATAAAGACAGAAAGTTCAGCTTTCAGGAGAGAGAGGCCCAATGAAGGAATGCTTTCTGAGCTGCCAAAAACCAATACATAAATGATAACATAGGAATGAGATTTGGTCCTTTTCTGTGTTTCTTTTTTTTCCCCTAGGAAAAATAATTTGCTTGTATCTGTTGTCTTCTCCTTTACTAAAAAAGTTTGCTAAATGTTTGAACTGAATTGAGCACTATCTGAATTTTAAGCAGTTATTTACTCTGTGTGTGTCTGTGTGTATTATGTAAACCTTCAGCAGTTTTATGAGGGTAGAGGTTACCGGAATTGAGTAAATTCTCTTTTTCTTTTTTTTTACTGTGGTTTATCCCACGTATAACTGGAGGAAGGATGGTGGGAAGAAGATGTCCATTTGGGAAATACCATTTAGCAATGCCCTTAGAAACCTTGGGAATTTCCAGCTGGCTTTTTAAATTGACCGTAAGCAAACCTCCTTTTTGTGGGGTTAGATTCTATCACATTTCCCAAAGTAGGTGGACAGAAGAAAATAAACATCTATACAGGTCTGGAGGTATAGTATAATCCAGTACCATGATCTGCAAATATATAGTTGTGAACTTCACCAGTGATTTTTTTTCTTTTACAGTTAAGGTATGCTCTGTGCCATACAAGATACTAAGAAAGCACAGTCTCTGTCTCTAATAACTAGTCCTATAACCAATCCTGTAAGTGCTCTTGCTTATGAAAACTATGCATCTCTGATTCAGCTAGTCCAAATGTGCATCTCTACCCTGTCTTTACCTATTCCTATAACTTGATGAGAATCCTAAGTTTTTATTGATAATCAGAGAGCATGTCTACACATTGCTCTATGATAACATTATTACTGGGCTGTGCTTTAGTACTTCCAAAAGCATGGCACAGTAACAACCATCATGGCACATGATTATTTTTAGCTGCTACTTTGCCGTAGAGGTGCACTATAAGAGAGGAGCATGCTACTATGGTGAAGTAGCTTCTGGTCACATGTAGACACCTGCAGATGCTACATTGCCATAGCACATCACTACGTGACACAGCGTCACATGTAGCCCAGAGTATCAAAGAGCTGATACTGACAAATCAATGTATTCAATGTCATATGTTCAGTCCTTAAAACACAAAGTTGTTTTAACAAAAAATCCTAAACAAAAACAAAAAGAACTGAATGAATTTAGGTTTATTTGTCCTTACTTTTTTATTGGGAACTTCAGAATCCCTGCCTTTCACATTTTCAAAGTCTTCTTCATTAGCATGAGGATATTTATTTTTTTAATTATTCCATAACCATATAACCACATGCATCCAGGAGCTGGGGCATCAGGAATCCAAACAAAATAAATGAATAGTGTAACACTTGATTAAATCATAAAGATGGCAACACTGATGTTTGAACAGTGTTTTAATCAAGAAATGTAGTATATTCACCCCATTAAATGTATTTATATGGGCCTCGTTGACAGTCTTTTCAGTATCAACATTTACTTTGTTTTTCAGGCAAATTTAGATTCAACCTCATACAGTTAGCCTTCCAAATACAAAGTAAATAGGCTAGCTTTCTGATTGTTAGAAACAATGGCCCTAGGAGTTTTGAACTCTTAAACCCTCATTTATCTCATGGGGAATTACATGGCTAAAGCCTAATGACCCTATTTCATGTCATTATTAACTATTTTATTGCTACCCACCCGATGGGAAGGGAAATAGGAAGAAATATACAAGGTGGGGGTTGGAAATTACTTCAGGACTCAAAATACATAGGGAAGAAAGTGAGAGAAGAGTCTTCCATACAATAAATTAAGTTATGACAGCACCAAGATTATAGCAATGAAGAGACAGTTTCTGATCACTTAAACCAGCTTATATGTATCTTCTGCCCCTAACTTTGTTTGGGTCAATCTAAATGTAATACTTGTATATCCCCACAGGTGGGAAAAGGGAGAGAGAAATAGAGTAACTCAGCTGGCAAAGAGAAACAGATCTAGAACAGAAATAATTGTGAATATTTTCCTACTTACTGAGGTTGAAGGTAACTTTAGCTAAACATTCTTAGACCAATCCTATTTTACCTTCTAGTTTTCTAAGCAGACCTAGGTGCTTATGTGTCATCTTCCACCCTGCTTAAATCCCTGAAAAACTGTTAATACCAAAGCTAGTGGGATGTCCTTTCTGCTTGGTACATTTTTCTGACTTAGTCTTAAGGCTAAGATGATGGTACATTAAAAATTAACCAAGTTAATGTTTCTTCAGGGACTTGATCACGGTGGAATAGAATCACACTTGGATGCTATAATTGATGAAATAGGATCTGGCCCTCAATTATTACAGATCAACTCTATTTTATCCTTTATCTTTGTGAATACTTTCTCCATGGGAATTCCACTGAGACCCAAATTTATATCCCAGCCCACAGATTATAATTAAAAATAAAATATTTATTCTTCCCCCTTATCCTAAGCACAACATAAGTCCCTCTACCCTGATTAAATCAGGGGAGCCTGATTTAAATTCTTCCATAGATAATTTTTCAGGGAGATTAAACCTTAATCAGGATGCATCCTGCTGAGTTTCTTTCTCTGTATTCTCAAATAGAAGTGAATTGCAGAACTGACTTGTGGAGGAAGATGTAGTCTGGAAACCCCATGAACCCTATACACAATGGGAAAGCCCACTCTCTTCCTTGTAGTTCAGGAAGCAAACTGAGTTCTGGGACTGTTCATATGAGGGGTAATAATGTATGTTTCAAAACATTTCAGCTATTATCTGAAGATGTTTTAAGAATGTGGTTGCCTACAAAAGGTTAGTGCCCTTTTAAAATGTTCAGCCAACTTGTCTGCATAAGTTTCAAAATATGTGAGTTATTGCATTATAAAACATAAACTAAGCCTAGAGCCAAATAGTACTTGGGCACCTGAAAGTTAGCTGTTGCAGTGCCTAACTTTTAGGCAGCAGGTAACAGGAGTGGAATCCAGAACCTTTCATTGGGTGCATTAACTCTCAAGCTCCCTGCAGAGTGCATGGGGAAAGTTAAGCACTTCAATACAACCAGCATACTGAACAGGAAGTGGGCTAGCCAAATAGCTAGCCAAATAGGCAACTTTTTCTATATCCTAAGAGCACCCAAACTGTAAGACTATAAGCTACTGGGGGAAAGCACTCTGTTTTACAGCTGTACCATTGTGCAGACAGGAATTCAAAATTTGCTGGAGCAGAAAGAGAGCACAAGAGGGAGCATGGCTTTGTAGACTAGTGGATGGGGTACTCACCTAGGAGGGAGATGATTTCCCTTTTGGTCCTTGTTCCAATCACTACATATCTTATTCGGTGACTGTTTCAGGTTGCAGATATGTAACATGGGGCACTGACACACATGCAGTTCCTTGGTCTAGCTCATGGCACTTCACAGAAAATGCCATGAGTTAGATCAACCCTCCCAACCCAAGAGACATTCGCTGTTCCATTGGGAGTGTTGGGGATCAGGCTCTGTTTTGGACTGGATCCAGCCAAGGAGATGTATGTCTGTAGCTTCTTTCCCTTAGCCCTCTTACTCCCCCTGTTCCCAGCTCTGGTGCTGTCTGCATGATGGAAGTGGGGGAAAAAGGAGGGGAGGGAGCTTGCATTGGTGTTCACCCAGCCTGTGCTAGAGTAGGAGCAGGTGGATTGGAGCCCATTCCAAGTAGGTATCCTAGTGGGTGGCTTACATTATGCATGCTCTGATAACACCTAATGGATTGATTCCCCGGGGGAGGGGGCAGGCGGGGTGCGGGGGGAGGATTTAGGCAGAAAAACCATTAGTTTCTGGATTCCAGCTGAATTAGTGTGAGGTAACTACCAATCGGCTCCATCAAGACTGAGGAAGTTTTGGACATGTGTAACTTCTGGGAAATGGGTTTGGGTACATAAAGTTCTTCCTTCCAACACAGTACGAAAAAATCTGACTACTCTAAAATAGGGTAACTTGTCCAATTCTTTTTGGTTTTTTTCTTTCTCATGAAACTGTATTTATTTTGCAAAAGGCTTTGAGGCAGACCCCTCTGGGGAGAGGATGAAACAATTAAAAACAGGCAGAGCAATAAAAACAATGGCAAGAAAACTGTTCTTGTTTTTTCTTTTTCTTTAAGCTCAGTGGGCACTTTGTTTTCATTGACTTGTCAGAGACCCTTAATTTTCCTTAGCCATATGTACTTATTTTTAGTTTTTTCTTAGAAATCATTTTCCCCAATCCCTTAGTCATGTCCTGTTGCTATTACACCGTTACTCATTTCAAGCCTTTTATGTTGACATCTTTGCTGTTAATTGGACATTGGATGCATAAACTTTAAATGCAGCTGATTAATTTTAATTATTGAAAATAAGGAAATAATACTGTGTGTTTGGAAACATATGCAGATTTGGCATTAGCAAGTCTTATGTTTCTTCCAGATGTGGATATCATTTTAGACCCCCAAAAATGGGTAACCAAAATGGTGTATTCTTTAAGTAAATGAAGAACCACATTTTACTCTATTTACAGTGTTCTAGAAATGAAAGGGGACCAGAAAGCTGCAGGAAATAGATATCTATGAGTGTCCTTGGACTGGGGAAAACAGCAATTGACATAACACAAGTGTAAGGGTTGTAAAGAGAAGCAAGCCCTCTAGTCAAAGCTCTCTATACTCAAAGAATTCCAGATGATGGAATTTGGGGCTGTTCCAGCTTATATTAGAAGCCAAAGTACACATTATACACCAGCATCTCAGTTTAAGTGGATCCATGACCATGTGGGTGACCCACAAGCTTTTTATGCACTTTTTCCTGCAGTATTCTGACTTAAAATAGGTCTAAATGATTAAGTGCTGACATTTTCATCAAATTGGTGCATGTGTACAAAATGAATGTAAATGTACTCCGAAGTTGAAGATATGGAGTCCTGCAGCAGTAGCAATGGGTTACATAATAAAGCCAGGATAGGCAGACACTGGCAACATGTAGGGGGTGCACGCAGGTACACATGCACCTTCTGAGCACGGCAGTGCACCCCCTGCGAGAGGGCACCACTGACACTGCCAGCGGTGCCTGTGGGCAGTCGCTGCTCACCACCCCCCATCTCACTGCTGACCACCGGCGGCATCTGTGAGCAGTCTGCAATCACCGCTGGCCACTGCTGCCGTTGCCAGGGATGTCTACAGGTAGTAGTTGTCGAATGCCAGTTGGCGCATGCCACCCCACCCCCCACCACCACCACCAGCACTGCAGCTGCCTATGACAGCTCCACGCTTGCTGCCGCCATGCTCCTGCCACCAATAGCACCACTGCCACCTGAGGAAGCTCTCTGTACTCCCCCAGCCTCCACAGGGCATGCAGCATTCATGTGGGCAGGGATACCTTCCTAGTATTGAAGGTTTCTGTTTCGAATGTCCAAGAATTAAAACTGGAGTTCAAATAATCACATTTTAATTTTATATGGTTGTTTGTTGCTGTTTTGATTTATGCACTCCATTGGGATCAATTACAAGTACATAAAAAAATAATTGATTTAACTCAATAGACAGCAGTTAACTATAAAAGCACAGTTATTCATCAAGAAGCATACTTACGCTGCTCACAGTGCAACAGTATGAAATTCTTCCCACAAAAATTGCTGACAAAGTCCAGATTACACACCTACCATAGTACTAACATTTGTAGCTGCTAAGACTGTGATCACTTCCCATAGCTATCCAGTGATCCCATGATCACTTCCCATAGCTATCCAGTTACATCATGAAATGGTGTCTACGCATATCTTTTCCTACATCTACGTTTTTCTGACTGTTCTGGCTGATAGCTTTCTTATGCCAGGAAAGTACAGTACGTTCTCTTGATCCTATTATATCAGTTTGGATGTATCTTGAGGAAATAGTTTCAAATAAAATGGCAGTTATTCATTAATGTATAAAATGTAATAGAAATTCGGAAACTTTAAAAGTATTGATGAAAAAAATGTTTAAGTAGGAGGAAATTAGGTATTGTTCTTCAGTGTTGAACCTCTGATGTAAGTGCTATTTTAGAAAGAAAACATGGCTTTCCTATATGAGGTAGAGATTTATCTGATAGTGAGATGCTTCATAATTGATGGTAAAAAGAAGGCATGTCTGATTGGATAGTAGGTTTTGATTCCACTGAGTTCGTGTTTCTCTGTGGTAATTTGAAGGAAGTCTCTAGGTATAATTTTGATGTACTTGGGTTTACGCAGATGTAGTAGAACAGTTCACATGCAATACAGTCGTGTATGGCTATCCATGTTTGAAAAAGATAGGCAGGGAAAGGATGAAGTGTTATGTACAAAGCAGATGTATGTGTGTTCTGAGGTGCACTACAAAGTACAAGGTAGGTCTGTTGAAAGCCTCTGAGTATAGGTCAGAGGGGAGAGCAGGAGGAGGGATGTCATGGTTGGTGTCTGCTCTAGGCCACCACACCTTATCCAAAAGGTAGATGAAGGCTTCTTTAGAGAGCTGATGAAAGCTTTCAAATTGCAGGACCTGGTTCCCATGGAGGACTTTAATTATCAGGACATCTGCTGGGAGGGGAGCACAGAAGGACAAATTCAGTCCAGCAAATTCTTGGAGTGTGTTGGAAATGACTTGTTGATACAAATGATAAATGAAAAACTAGGGGGAAAACTCTTCACAAACTGGGAGGAATTGACTGAGAACATGAAGGTGGAAGGTAACTTGGGTGATAGTGGCTGCGTCTTCATGAGATGCTGACTGTGCAGTAACCAGTGACCACTGTGCAGTAGTGTTGTGTGGCAGGAAGCATGATGTGACACTACTGTGCAGTCAGCATCACAAGAAAGCCATTCAGTGACGCTACTGCACAGCAACCCCAGTTACCACAAAATGGTAGAGTTCAACATTCTAAAGGGAGAAAGGGAGAGCAGTAGAATAAATACACTGGGCTTCAGAAAAGCAGACATTAGAAAACCCAGGAAACTGGTGGATAGAATCCCCTGGGCAGGGAGTAGTAGAGGATTCAGGAAGCATTGGCTGTACTTCTATGGAGGCTCTTTTGAGGGTGCAGGAACATGCTATCCTGATGCAACAAAAGAATAGGAAGTACAACAGGAGACCAATCTAGTTAGACAGCACTCTTTCAAGAAGCTGAATCCTACAAAGTGGGAAGTTGGTCATATAGGGAAGGGTATGAGTATTGCACAGGTACACGGGAAGAAAATTAGGAACACCAAAGCACAATTTAAGATGTACCTTGCAAGGGACATAAAAGGCAATATACATACGTGTATCAAATGTAAGAGGAAGATAAAAGAAACCATAAATCCTTTATGGAATGCAAAAGGCAATCTTGTTATGGATGATGAAGAGAAGGCTGAAATATTTCATGCATTTTTTAGTTCACACTTCACAACTAGAGGCAGCTAACAGATGACAAGTGCAGTTGGCAGCAAAGATACATAGGGAATGAGTCAACCAACCTAGAATAATGGCAGAATAGGTCAGGGATTACTTAGATAAAATTGATGCTTTCACACTCTAGGTCCTGAAGTAATTGGCTAAGGTAATTTCAGAACCATTAGCTATCCTCTTTGAGAACTTGTGGAAGTATGGTGATGTCCTGGTTGATTGGAAAAGGGCAAATATAGTGCCCATCTTTAAGGAAGGGAAGAGGATGTATTACAGACCAGTTAGTTTGACCTTGGTTCCTGGAAAGATCATGGGGCAGGTCCTCAAGGAACTGATTGTGAAACACCTAGAGGAGAACAAGGAGCACTTTTACATGCATTCTAATTAGAATGTGTCAGAGCAGACTCAATTACTTGA